TTTTCCCCATATGGCTCTGCCCACCTAAAGCTGGGAGTCAGCTGTTGGGCTTCTTTCCTAGCTAACAGAGCAAGCCTAACACCCACTTCCAGAAGCGGGTGGTACAGGTGAATCATCTTCTGAAGCTTCCTCTGTTGATGCTTCTACTGAAGAAGTGCTGGGTATGCATCAGGGTGAACACACTATCTCTAGATGGACCTTTTCCTAGCAGTCATCACTGCCCTGCCTTTCTCAGCCCCTGAACTTGCCCTGCTGATCCTGAAATCAAGTTAAGAAGTGCTTTTATATATCTGCTGTGGTTGGAGGAGGGAACTTCCTTTGCTCCACAGGCTGCTGGAAAGCACTCTGCTGTCCCCAGAGCAAGCCCTGATCTTGTATTGTATACCTACTAAAACACAGCTGTTCTGTGATGTCCTCAAACTGAGACTGTAAATCCCTCAGGTTCTTGGTGGGCTGTCCAAGTGATGGGGCAGCTTGTCTTGAACAGGTGTTGTCTAATTCAAGACTGAAGTTATCTGGCTTCAGCTTCCAGAAGCTGTTTTTGGGTGATGGCTTTGCTCTTCAGTTAAAAGAATCCAAATTCAGTGCTTTATCAGCAGGCAAGATTCCTGTCATGGAAAACTGTGTAAACATTTTATTTCCTTCCCCACCAGTCCCAAGGAAGTTGCCACATTCACCTGGCCTCAAAGCCTCTCCAGTGCTCAGGCCCATTTACAAAAAGTACTGTCCAGCATGTTGGCACACTCCTATGGATTTATCTGAATGAGGAATGTTACAAGGCCCCGACACTTTTCATTTTATTACCCATAAACACCAAATCCATTTCAGATATTAAGTCCTATGTCTTGCTTTTATTATTTTTTTTTTATGTTACAGAGCTTTATGTCCATAACTAACTCAGTGTTTGAAGAGTGCTGTATGTCTGTAGTTACATGTTCTTTGTGAGGAACAGCTGGGGCACGACAGTTTGGTTAACAATCACAGACATTGCTCCTTTAATTTGAAAACTGCAAAATTATTCTTCTTTTCACTCACACAAAATAAATCTTTTGAATGTTCCAGTCCTTCCCCATATCCTTATTTTCTTACAGCAGAAATTCTGCTGACCTCATCAAAAAGGGAGCAATAAAGTGTCCTAAACAAAATTTCTTTGAACTGTTTTCATTAACTCTGTAGTTCCTCACCTTAAAGAAACTGACCATGTAATGAATAAACAGCGGCTATTTTCAGAAGAAAGGATTTTCTTTCAACTACCATGGTCACAAGAAATGGCCTTACTTCCTGATTCTTTTCAATTCTCTGTATTTAGCTGAAACTAAAACTATTAGATGGAAGCTAGACTGAAAGCTTTGAACATCAGTTCTGTGATCAGCTATTAAAGCAGTCCAATTTCAGCTGTGTTCAAACACTGCTTTCCTGTCTTGTCTGAGGAAGTGCCTGCCAATTCATTTTTCTACTCTTATCAGCAAAGCCCATATACTGTGCTCATGTTTCTTAATATAAAACACAGGGAAAATCCCCAAGCTGCCAGGAGGTGTGATGGCTTAAATACAGACCGAATCTTTGTTCTCATCCCGTTGCATACTTTCATTTGCTTTCAGTTGATAAAAGCAGATCTACCTACCCATGATCTTGCAAAGTTTTTCAGATTTTGATGAAAGGCTTCCTTAAGTAAAGAATTCTATCATGGATGGAGCTTCAGTAGCTGTACTTCATTTCAAAAGTATGTTTTCTTAAATAATAAAAAAAAATGTTTGAAGATGCAGTCTATTTTCAGCCCTTTAATAATCTTATAAGCTTGACTGAGTTATTTTCCTTTCTGTTTGAATGACAGTGTGGTACTGTGGGTTGTTCTGTTGTCCATTGGGCTTCACTGCCTATATTGAGGCAGTCAAAGTTCAAAATTGATTCAGATCCACTATCATTCTGTTGCTTTCTCCCCTCTCCCCCCCTTTTTTAATCGCATGTCTCTGCATTTCATGGAATCATAGAATCACAAGGTTGGAAACGACCTATAAGATCATCTAGTCCAACTGTCTCCTCATCACCATTGCCACCACAAGCACTAAACCACATCACTCAGCACGTCATCCAGACGCCTCTTGAACACTGCCATGGACGGCAACTCCATCACCTCCCTGGGCAGCCTGACCACTCTCTGAGAGAAAAAGTTCTTCCTTATGTCTAATCTAAACCTCTTCTGGTACAACTTGCAGCCATTACCCCATGTCCTGCTCGTTGCCTGGGAGAAGAGGCCAAATCCCTCTTCACCACAGCCTCCCTTCAGGAAGTTGTACAGTGCAATGAGGTCTCCCCTGAGCCTCCTCTTCTCCACACTGAACAATCCCAGCTCCCTCAGCTGCTCCTCATAAGACTTGTGCTCCAGACCCCTCACCAGTTTCGTTGCCCTTCTCTGGACACATTCCAGGGCCTCAATGTCTTTCCTGTAGTGAGGAGCCCAAAACTGAACACAGTACTTGAGGTGTGGCCTCACCAGTGCTGAGTAGAGGGGGAACAGTGGAAAGCATTCACATCTTCCCAACAGGTTAAAATGCCACCTGTGTACCTTTCTTAGGTACAGTCCTTCCTCAGTATTACACAGATGGAATGTGAATTTTGTCACACAAGGGAGGATGAAATAATACGGTGTTCAATGCTTATGTCTTTTGTTACATCCCATGGCCTTCCTATCCTTCAGGCATTAACAGTGAAGAACAAATAGTCTTATCTTGAAGACTTCACACCTGCATCTCCCTTCCCCACCAATTCTGCCAGGCATTCATGGTTAATGTTAGGCATGTCATTCATATTTAGTTTTTGGGAAATCCTAATTCTGCTGAAGCTGCCAAAGCTGCAAATGTTTTGTAAACCTGCTACTCAGCCTCTTATTCCCTCTCCTTCCCCAGAGTACCTTAACGCTTCCATGATGTTTTAAGGTCGAAGAACAGAACGTACTTTGTACTAAAAGGAGGTTAATAACTGAGTGACAATATGAGGCCTGTTATCCAGTGCTGAAGATGTGGGTGTTTCTGTGGTTGTGACACTCATGTAACTTGAGTGGTCCCACTCCCCACATGTCCAGTGGCTTTGGCATGTCGTAAACAAGACACACTTCTCTCCGTCTTGTGAACAGACAAAACCAATGTTTTGATGATCAGTTCCTTTGCCAAGCACATCCTCACAACAGTCTGGCAAGAGGTGAGGTGTATTGGTTCTAGTACCTCACTAGTGTTTGGTTTCTGACATGACATGCTTGAGGCTGCAGAGTATAGAATCTGCTCATCTTCTTGCAGACACCTTTCCTCATCCTGCTTTCCATCAGTAAGTAAGTGATTTCAAAAAGAAAAGGACCAGATAATGCCTCCGATAGTTCTACTGATCTGTCACAGAGCCTTGAGGAAATAGTTCCACAGTCTCTGCCTGCGGAGGTTTGACAATGATGCCTATCTTTTTGTGCAGTGTGTTGTGAGATTTAGGAAGATAAATGCTATGGGAGAGTTAAAGTGTTCTTATTCTGAACTCAGCTTGGGTGCTTAATCAAAATGTACACTTAAGTTTCAGAGCTGTAATTTGAAATTACAACCTCTTCTGCTAAACTACCATAAGCATTTCAACAACAAGCTAATGAAACAAAACGAGAGTATTCCCTTCCCCTGGTTTGCACCACCAGGGGATGGGAATGGGGATGTAAGCTCTTGCACAGATACCCCGAATCAAACAGCAGGCTCACTTAAGCATGCCCCTGCAAACTTCCGTGCTGCTCAGCCTTTACCAGTATGTTCACATACATACACTATCACAGAAGATGAGATAGGACTCAACATTGTAGCTGTTTTCTACATATCCACACTATTTCCATGAACTCAGTTTCATACAGTAATTTGGGTTGGAAGGCATCTTTAGAGGTCATCTAGCTCCATCTCCCATTCAAAGCAGGGAATTTCAAAGTTAGATGAGGCTGCCCAAGGTTTTGTGCTATTAACTTTGACAATCTACAGGGTTTCCACAACCTCTCAGGGCAACCTGCTCTAGTGTTTAACCACTCTCACATTATTTATTTCCCTACACTCAAATAGGATTTCATCTGTTGCATCTTGTATATGTTGCCCCTTTTCTTTATAACCTTTGACTCTCTTTTTGAGTCTTGCAGTTATCTTGCCTATATGTTTTGGTGAGGGTGGGTTTTTTTTGGCTTTTTTTCAGAAGTCTCTTCTACTATGTACATTTCCCTAAGATCTTATTCTTGCTTTGGTTTGTTGTTTCCTTTCACATTATTCACAGTGATTTTTCAGGTAAGGCACGTATTTTTAAGAGAAGCCAATAATAGTCAGATTCCGGAGAAACTCACTGATACCTAGGTACAAATTTTGTGCAAGCTCCATTCTTTTTCTGCCTCTTAACAGGCATTTCAGTTTTGGACCAATTCTAAAGATGCACTTCAGAGATTTCAAATTGCATTAAAAAATCTTTGCTTGCTCTTTAGAGTAGAAATATGCATGAAAGATGTGTTGGAACAATTCAAATATTTGTGGGACTGGAAAGACAAGCCAAAGGAAACATGCCTGATAATCAGCATGCAAAGGAACTGCTCTGGACATGGTTAGGGAACTGCATGATACAAAGATACCTGAGGTAGGAAATAATCCAATCTGTCAAAGCTCTAGGACAGACAATGCAGCAGGTTGTCACAGAGAGAAAAGAAGAAGTTGGAAGTGTAACAAAAATGTGTTTTGATGGGCAGAAAGTAAAATCGAAGCTCCAAGATAGAATCCAAGCACCCTCCCTTCCATAAAGGGAAATAAAGAACAAAACACCATAGTACAAATGTGTTGCCAGGAGAGACTGCCTAAAGGTTGTCTTGTGAACCTGCAGGTGGGTGTGGATCCATGGGCAGAGGTGTGTGTGCGAGCTGCAGATGAGGCTGGAACTTCCCCAACATTCTCCTCTTCAGATCTCTTACCAGTGTTTTTTAATTGATGCATTCCTCTTCATTTTCCCAGGTGCTGAAATTTGTCCCTGAGGCTGAGCATCCCCGAAAGAAAGGCAAAGCAAGAAAGAACATGGCTTTAGTAGATATACAGTTGGATCATCATGATCGCTGTGATTGTATCTGCAGTTCAAGACCACCCCGATAAAAAAAAATTAAAAAAAAAAAAAGGAAAGAAAAAACATAAGACCCACTAATTGCAGCTTACCAGACATTTACTTTTAAGCAGGATTGCTCTGAGGACCTTTAGTCACTAATCATTTGAACTTTGCTACTAGCCTGCCTTTGCAATTAGAAGAAATGATTGCTGTGTTTCAGCATAGCTGGGCTGATTAGTGCCATGGCAGCTAAAGAGGCATATCATACATTTATATATCAGCATCCAGGAATTATGCTCACTATAGCTAGAGTCTGAGGGTTGAAATTTTCAAAGGTCACTTACAGTTTTTAGGTGCACAAGGCCCACAGAAGTTGTGTAAGCTGGCAGTGAAAGAGCATTTGTTGTGTTTCTGCAAATATCTCACCATTTCCTATGCTCAAATTCTGCTGCCATTTCTACCTGTGGAACTCTCCTGTCAGTAGAATTTTGTGGGTATAAATGAAAGGAGAATTTGAGCCCATGCAATTGTAAAATGGTTAATCCAGATCTGAAAATGAACTTGCCAGCATCACCTCTCAGAAGAGTGCTGTGCAATGAGAAAAATCCTTTATTACATGAAATAAAACACCAGGAGAGTCAAATCTCACTATCTGTCCTCAAGCAGATCTTGTGACAAAATTAGTAAATGCTTTGCATAAGCTGGGACACTGGTGGTGGTAGGGGGTACAGGGGCACCTTTGCCACAGTGACTACAGGAACCATCATTCATATCCTTCTGCAAGCATGGTGAGATGGGGCCCTTCAGGTCCCCTGTGGGCTGGGGCTGGTTCTGATCTGTGCCCAGTCCCCTCCTTGCCATAGCTGGAGAAGTGCCATGTCTCCCTAAGCAGGCAATGAAGATAGGGCACTTGTTTGTTGAAAATATTGATTTGTGTTGTAGTTGTGTTACTGGGAAACTAAACTGTGCTTGAGATTTAATTATCGTTACTTGGTTTGGGGTTCGTTTGTTTGTTTTAAATATGGATTATTATAACTTTGTCATATATCCATTAATCTTAGTTATCTGAGGCTTTTGTTTCACTTCAGTTATGTGTATTGCCATGGTTAAACTGTTAACAATGAATTTCTTTTAGATTGCATTTTGCTGAGGCATATTAACTCATTAAGCAATGTTTGTCTGTCAAGGAAAGTGTGCATCATTTATTAACGAGCACAATAATATTATAAACACCACCTCAGAATAAAATAAGCACTGTAAAAGCTACGACATAACTTCCTATGCCTTTTTAAATATTATGCAAGTGCTCTCCATGAGAAAGGAAAAAAACATCCTTCGAGCCAGCTTTAAGGCTATAAAATGCTGCTCCAGAAACTGTTCAGAGTAAAACACAGGCAGAATGAAGTTTATGGAAGAACTGGAGTTTTTATCATGAATGTAGCAGAAAGAATGGGGTGGCATGTTTAATGGTTGAGGTTTTATGTTTAACAGCAGACACAGACTGCAGCAGTTCATCTTGTTCGTGTTGCCTCTTGGGTTTCTGCCTCTCTGAAAGAGCCAAGTAGTTTGACATTAGTGGAAACTGACATGTGCTATAGTATAATACTGAGATTCTTTAAGCCAGTATGTTTTAGTAATATGTGGTTTTGTTATAGAAGTGCAGTAATGTTCTAACAGCCTCTTTATCAGCTCAAGTATTTTATAAGTGCTCTTTTATAATTTTAACAAAACTTTACTGAAACGTCCCTTAGAAATGCTGTGTTGCTTTCTTTCTTGTATTTTAACATTTAAGATTCAAAATGTGTGGGTTTTTTTTTATTATTATTATTTATATTAATTTTTCCTCTCTGGCTCCCAGATGTCTATTTAAAAATGTTCCCAAATGCTGAGTTGGGAAGTGATTCATCATTTTTCAAAGCAATTCACTTTAAAAGAACAACGCTGTAACCAAAGATTGCCAGCTTCATTTCTTATTTCAGAACTGCTTAAAAAAGACTTCATTCTTTTTCTGTCTCTTGCTTTATAACAGGATTGACCCAGCCCTTCCATAATTTTCAGCTAATTTGGGAAGAAAATTGCATGTGAGATCTTGACAGTACTGATTGTTTTTGAGACGGCGCACTCTCTCTAGCGTATATTTCTGACTGCATTGTACTGCAAGTATGCCTAAGCACTCCAGCCTCTTAGCATCAGTGGTAGGAAGCAACTGCCTCATGCCTTTGTGCTCTGAGTGGTTCTGTAATTCTCACCCCTCAAGGGAAGATGCGAATCAGGCATCCACTGTGCATGGCATTCCCCACGCATCTGTTTGTTTGTCCATCTGCATCCCAAACAGCCCAGTCCTGGGGGTATTCACACTAAGTCACCTCAATGGGCAGCAGGGAGAGATGCTCCTTCCCAAGCATGCCTTAGTTTGAAATCACCAGTGTGGGAGTTTACTCCCTTTTCACCGTGTAAGAAAGAGACTAGAAATCTGATTTGGGCATCTTAAGGGAAATAGAACCATGGCAAATGGTGTGAAACATGGTAAACACTGTACAGCCAGTAGTTTGGCTAACTGAATTTGATGCAGGCAGCAGTGGATGCTAGGATCCAGCAGGAAAATTCAGCTGTAAAAGGGATTACTCTCTTAATGCTTAGTTTCTTAAAAGTACACTCAACTGGTCACAAAATGTGAAACATTTCCAAACTTCTCATCCACCTGCTGTGCTGATCCTGGTGAAGTCAAGTAGCAGCCAAAAACTTTTCCTTTTTTATTTATTAGTAGAAATTGTCAAGATGTTTTTCCACACCTTTATTTCTTTTGTCTGTGTAATAATTGCTATGCTGTTTACATATTGTTTTAATTTAAAAAACAGTGCTATTAAAAAAAAAAATTGTTTTTATTGGTGGAATTGGAACCCTCTAAAATAAGCACATTTTCTAAACTCGAATGATTTCAAAGCCACTCACTAGCTTTTCATTTAGTGTATTCTTCTGGGACAGAGCCTACTTTCTCAAGTGCAATCTCTCAAATTTTTGTTGTTGTTGTTGTTATCTCAGTTAAATGCAGCTCTTGTAGCATTATTTCTTACCCTATGCAGTATGTAATGTGTCTTATCTTGATGGAAAAAAAATAAATACTGCTTTTGAAATAAGATGCTTTGTGTGTTCATTCAGAGTTCTGATTAATTAAGACCCTGCAATTTACTGGAGGATATTTCCACAACAGGACACCATCCAGATGAGGTATCTGAGAGACTTTTAGCAGTCAGATCCAGGAATACCATCAGGGAAAAACCTGAGTGTGATTTTATGATAACTGAGTTTAAACCCCAATGGTAGAAAAGCTTCTTGTATAGCAGCAGCAGCTCAGCAGTCCGGTCCTTGCTATTCAAAGAAACAATTCATATATTCTTCTTTCTTTTTTTTTCTTTTTGTTTTAGACTGAACCAAGGCAGACAGAACAGAGATTCCCAGACAAAAAGAACAGTTATCTTGTGCACAGTGAACAAGGATGTATTCAATGGTTGGAGAATATTTTTGCCCATCAGAAGTGCACTGAGTATCCTATATAGACACTGAGAACCTGTATAGCAGGAATAGCAAAGTGTGCAAGAATGGCATAAAGCTCCTTCAGTCTGGCATTGCTTTGTACCTATAGAACTAATAGCTAGCTAACATTATCAGATTGACCTTGTGCTCATATGAGTGATGACTTTTATAGATCTGCAACACAAAAAGCAGCTCTCCATCTTATCATCTGAAAATGCACCAGGTTTCTAAGGTCATTGGAAACACCTTTTCTTATTTGTTTAAAATAATACATTTTTTTAAAACATTTTTCGTCTCATTTGAGGAGTCTACAGAATCTTTTGTAGTTAATCTTAAGTTTTGCAACAGCTTGAAAACACCTCTCTGCAAATCCATTTATGATTTCCCTTGCTCTTTTGTGGAGCTCAGTCATTCCGCTGAAATGTGAATTCAACAGATGTCCAGTTTGTTCTTATCCTCCTGGGGACTCCAGTGCAGCAGCTAATGAAATGAAGAAATCAGTATTCTGGTCTCTCATTCTAAGAACTATAAATTTGTTTATTGACTGTCTTGATCAAATGTGCTGAAATACATAACATTTATAGTTTATTTGATCATTCACTGACTGACCTTGAATATCTTAGTGTTTAAAGTGCAAATTAGGTTTTGCATTTCTTCTCCAAGACTTCTTCAATAAAGGGAATTTCCAAACCAACAAATACTGTGCCATGTGTACTAAGATGGAGACAGGTTTCAGATCGTCTTCTAAAACTGATTTGACTTCAGACTTTGCCTGAAAATCACTTACAGGTAGCGAAAATGATGCTTCAAAGCCAAATTTATAAAACCTTATTTTTCAAACTGAGTTTCAGAACCTCATTTATGTATTGCTTGCAGAAAGCTGCTGTCACACAGACATGCTTTAATAAAAATGGAATGAGTTACATAATAACAGTGACTGTATTTGATGCTCCATTTCCAAGCCAACGAAGGATTTCTGCCCAAGTTGAAAAAACTTCAGTTTCAGAACCAGTATGAAGAGAACAGGATAAAGAAGAGCTGGGTACCTTCCAGATATTTTGATGAAAAGTGACATAAGACATAAAAAAAGCCCTTAACTTTGATTCATGGCATTTTTGTTAGACAAGTAATAAGAGCAGACATCTTAACCTTTCTGGCCTGTGAGTTTGGAGAGTATCATCTCAAGCAGCTGATGCACTGGGATCTCTCACTTCAGTCTGAAATCAGTTTACCCTCACTGAGGTGAAGGTGACCTTGGAAACAATCCCACCTATTAATACAGTTCCCTCAAATCTTTCTATCCACTGCCACAGTCACAGCTTTTTGCCACTTCAGCACAAGAAAACAGAAGAAGGTAATACCAACCTGGCCTGGGATTTCCATTCACAAGTTGGATATGGAGAAAGAGGAGTTCTCCCCCAGAGTGGAGAATCGCTGACAGGCAGAGGTGGGAAAGGGCCTCTGGAGAAGGCCTTGTCCAACCTCAGCTCAAAGCAGGGCTACCTACAGGGGGCTGCACAGCGCTGTGTCCAGTCAGATGCTGAGTATCT